GAAGGTTTGCTTAGGGCATGAAGATTTTCAGTTAAGTCCCCCTTCTCTTATACTTTATTTCATAGGTAATCATGGTTTTATGGCAACGAAGCATCAGTTCAAATGGCTGATGTACTGCTGTTGTTGATGATGATGATGATGACTAGCCCATTACATAGGTCATGACAGTTTTGTAGTAGCCTACCCACAACACACTGCCAAACCGTTTTCTTCCACCAACAGTTCATCGGTGCATAGTGCCTGAATGCTTTGGCAGCAATCAGCCTTTTTACTGCTGGACGGTTAGCTGTATAAACTGCACTTACACGCACACTGGATAATTTTGTTGACGGGACAATAGAGGCTGAATCCCACAGAAAAATAAAACAGGCCTAATGTTTGGTTGAAACAGGACCCGCGAGCTCAGCTATTGCTGTTGGATTCTCCTTTTATATATATATATATATATATATATATATATATATATATATATATATATATATATATATATATATATATATAAACTGGGCACGTTTTTTACGCTAATTGCACTTATCTCCGGTAACTTTATTGCGTTTGTAGCATTTTTAAGTAACCCATGGACACTTCTTACTTATTGCGGATTCGTTGCTAACCAACTTACTTCATATGGTAATTTAGGGAAGAGCTATGCCACCCTATCTGTATGCATTATTACATTTATCTTATTTCATCTTATCGTTTCAAGTTAATCGCTGTTGCTTGATATCCCCAGTGTGGCTGCGCTTGATGTGCATGTTGACAAGGTGTCTACCTGTTTATTACTCAATACCTCGTTCATCTGGCTCCAGGAGACAGTTATTCGTTGCTGGATGGGACGGCGGTGCACGTTCCTTGTGGCCGTGCTAGGCTCGAAGAGCGGTTCCATGCACTCAGTGTGGAACGGACTACGGTCCAGCCATCGCCTTGTGTGCACTTGATTCCCCAAATACAGTGTGCTTGTGTTTGCCTGTGAAGGAGTGTGGGCCGGCTCCGTTGATGAAACATGGCTCCCATCCACATACCTCCCGGTCTTATTCCTTCGGGTTTACACTGTACATGGGGTGTGTGGGTGGTGCAGCGCAAGTCACCCTTGGTCCCTCTGTAGGCGCAGGCGTCCTGTGGCGGGCCACAGTGACAGGCAAATCCGAAACCGGCTCCCGCCAACCATATGTATATATTCACAAGTCTTTAAACAGACATGCTAGTGGAAAAAGGAGAATATAATTTTCAACGAGTGAGAGTAAAACGCTAGAACAATATTTTTTTCAGTATCACACGCCGTTTTGAGTTTTTATTTCCATTCTTTCTTCAGCATTTAAAACTACAGGATGTTGAGATGGTAGGACATGATTGACGCCACTAACTTGTATTGTGGGCCATATGCTCCAAGACTTCCAACCATCGGGAATCCGTTTCACGTGGTCCCCAGCCTGACATCATCACCATCATCAACAACAACAGTACATCAGCCATCTGAACTGATGTTTCCCTGCCATACAACCATGCTGACCTAGGGAATAAGGAATAATAGTGAGAGAAAGGGGATTTACCTGAAAACTTAATGACGTAAGCTAACATTCAGGATCAAGGGGCCTACACCTCTTGTAGACAACATACCGTCACAAACAGTTGCCTATCGTACAAAGTAAGGCGGCATCAGCGAGATAGCTTCCTTGCGGCTTTCACTGCCACGCGTCATAATCAGCCATTACTCCGCAGATAACTCAGCGCCAAACACACGCTTCAATCGTCAAGCGGTTTAATGCAAGTTGGACGACCTGTGGATCGTCACCCAGCAAGACGATATCATCAGCATAATCCAAATCAACAACTCGACTACCTGGGAGGAGCTCAACGCCAGCGTTCAACGAATCGCTCAGAGCGTTCTTCAGGACATCCTCAATGGCAAAGTTGAATAGGAACGGAGAGATAGGGCATCCTTGTCGAACTCCACTGGAGACCACAAAGGTAGGCGAAAGCATGCCATAAGCCCTAACCCTGCCCGAGGTCAGACTGTATAGAGCGCGCAGTATGGAGACGAACTTCTCGGGGACACCGTTCCTCAGAAGGCACTGCCACAGTACTGTACGATCGACAGAATCGAAGGCTGCACGGATATCCAGGAACACAGCAATCGTTGGCCTCTGATACACATGGCGGAGCTCGAGGATCTGGCGAAGTGTGAAGATTTGATCGATGCAGCCGCGACCAGGGCGAAACCCAGCTTGTTCTTCTCGTTGCAACGATTCGCGTGTTGGGGATAGCCTGCGAAGTATGATGGACACCAGCAGCTTGCAAACGACGGGGACTAAACTTATTCCTCTGTAGTTGGAGCAGATTGTGCGCAGGCCCTTTTTGAAGATGGGTACGACTATCGATTTACCCCAAGATGATGGAACCTTCTCTTTCGACCAAATTTTCGAGACCAAAGCGGTGAGTTCTCGGACCAGCGATGCGCCACCATCTTTAAATAGAGCTGGGTGAAGACCATCAGGGCCGGGAGCTTTATAACGCTTCAGGTGCCGGAGCTCCTGCTCGATTTCCTGGGAAGAGGGAGGGTCTGTTGGGGTAGACCACTCGGCCCCAGCGCGAGCGCCAGAGGTAGCAGATGGAGCTGGGGGCCAACAAAACTGTGGGCCAAAATGTTCTGCCCATCGCTCCAACCGTCGTTGAAGATTGGTGATTAAGGTGCCATCCTCTTCGCATATTGTTTCACTTATACCATCGAACACCTTCGGTGACTCGAAGGAGATGGAAGAGTTTCCTGGTATTACCACAGAGACTAGCAAGCTCCATCTCCCTAGCACGTTCACACCACCAGGCTTCGCGGTCCATTTGCAGACTCCTGCGCAACTCTCGACCAAGGTATTGGCGTTCCTCACTGTGTCTCGAATCCGACGGGATCAAGCGGCGTTTGGCTCACATATGGTGGGAACACCGCGTGAGTAACGAGCGTGTTCGACGCATTGTTTACGGTACTGGAAAAGGTCATGAACCGCTCAGCACCGTTATTTCACGCACCAGGCTCCGATGGCTCAAACACGTGTTACGCTTGCCAGCCCACCGACTCCCTCGACGTGCGTTGTTTGCTCACCGGGGATGTGGGTGGAAGAAGAGGAGAGGTGGCCAAGCGATGACTTGGTCCAGGGGAATGAAGTCCCTCACCTCGAAGCTAGCTTCGGTTGGAGCGTCATGGCTCCCTGGTTGGGGTCCAAAAGACGGTGAACACGTTTGGCTGGATACACTTGCTGACATGGCAAGGAGCCGACCTCAGTGGCGTTCATGCTGTGAGTTTCTTTGTCCCTCCCCATCCCTTTTAGCCTCCCATCCATCTACGATCTCATTTCCTAGGGTAAAACATAATAATTTTTTTTCTTTTTGCCTAGTAGCTAGCTGGAAGCTTACCGGAACGATGCCTATCCGTTACTGGTAGCTCAGCTGGCATGCAACTGTTGTATCTACTTCTCCTTTGTGTATTGTATTGTATGTATGTATGTATTTCCTTCATGTATTGCGGCACAATAGCGGAGGTGGTTTTCCCACCTCTAGCTGATGTGTATAATGATGATGATGAAGCGGCGTTTGTCCATCAGCGACAAGGAGTCGGCGGAAATCCAATGTTTCGGTGGGTGACGGGTAACTCCACAAGTGTCGATACTGGCGGAAACTAACGCATCTTTGATATGCGCCCACTGCGAATCGAGATCACCGTCAATAGTTGAGCCAAGCAAAGTTGACAGTGAGGCTTGGTACCTGGTTAAAACCGCAGCGTTTTGTAGATTCGCGACGTCCGGTCGGTAGTGGGCTCGCTTAGGTGATCCTCCGAAACGCATGCAAATCTTAGCACGAACCAATGCGTGATCGGAGTCTAGAAAAGTTGACCAGTACGATCGGCAGTCCGTTATGCTTCCGCGCCATCTGTAGCTGATTGCTATGTGGTCAAGCTGGGAGCACTCTTGCTTTTGTGAGGGCGAGCGCCAGGTAGCAGTCTGTCTCCTCGAGTGTCGAAAACTAGTGCTCGAAAGAAACAAGCGATGATCAGAGCAAAGGGCAAGTAGTCTGTCTCCATTGTCTGATCGACTGCCACCGAGACCAAAACTACCCCCAATGTGGTGCTCGCTTGGTAGAAGGCGGCCAACCCGTGCGTTCAAGTCCCCGGCAAGAATGACTATATCCGTCCGTTTGGAGGAACGCAGAAGTTCATGTAGTTACATAGCGCCCACCAGCCATGAGCGTGACTTGATCACTTCGCGATCAGTTACAACTTGAGAGGCTGTGTGCGCAATTGTCGCTCGACTCGAATCACAAGCGCAGACTCCGACTACGCGCTTGCGTACGTCATTTTCCGTGTAGGCTATGACATCAGCGCATATACAGCGGCCAACCGGCCAAGTCAGATGTTTTGGATGCGTATACGGGACGCTGGCATCCGAGTAAACGCTCGCTGCACACAGCTTGTGGCTTCGGTCGTTATTCTTAATAGCAGCTATCTTCGTGTGACGAATCCAATTACCAGCATAGGTTTATAGGTTTGTACACAATGGAAATGTTTCCTTGTTCTGCTTCCAACACTGGGAGGAGCAACACCGAGACATTTCCATTTCAGATACGGTCCTTGCGATCAGAATAACCGAGGTCTACCTCAAAGTGAATCGAGATCTCAATAGAGGTTGCTCGTCGCAACCCAACCACACAGCAGGTTCCCCAAATTCAACTTTGAACGTTTGTACGCAGTCTCTGGATCTCTCTGGTACTCACGGACACATTGCAACTGGAATGGAATACAAGACGCATCGAGATCTAACGGCAAAACTGCGTGTCAGCCCGAAGAGGGACCGCGAATCCTGTATATGTAGATGGACGCCACTCTTGGTTACCACACTTATTCAGTCTCTTATGATAAACAGGCAGCAGGATACCTGGTATCAACGAAACTGTATGAAATTTAAAGCACTGAGTTCCTTTATCATTCTAAATAAGACAATAAGAAGACTGGTATTGCGAGATGGTACCATTTCGTGTTATCTGTTCACTCGCAAACTAACAACAGATAGATGAATCACGTGACAGAAAAAATCGAAGATTTGAAACTGGTCACAAGGGAAAAATTACGTAGACACAACAATGACAGATTAGCATCCTGATCTTAGGGTCATGAGCCCCAAGGAAGCTTCAGGGAGACTGTTAATTGTTTTTGCACGCATAGGATAGGGCGATGCCGGTTAAGTGCCACGGCTTCGGCAAACCTCAACACTTTGGGGTTGTCATTACGATAGATAACTGTAAATGTTGACCTGGGGTCAACCTGATGGCCTGATTCCAGTAGATGTTTGGCGATCGATGAGGCCGGCATCTTAGATACCTTTTCTCGTTCGCCTGCTTCTTGTGTCGATAGTTTGGCAATCCATTTTGGGATATGCTCTCCAATGCGCTTACCCAAGGATCGATCTGTTCTGCCAATGTAACTACTACCGCAGTTACAAACGAATTGGTAAATGCAATGGGTTGTGGCGGAGATCGGTTGAGTAGGCTTCACTGGAGGCATAGGTAACTTCCTGGTCTCCCAAATGGGGCAGAATTTGGCTGCGTTGAATGCCCGCCGAATCGCTGTATGCACACGACTTTCGAGTTGGGCGGCCACGATATCACCTTTGAAAGGTAATTGAAGGTAGACAGACAATTTGGGCACAGTAAGTACCGTCGGCCTGTTTTCCTTCAGTTGACCGTGGAATCGAATAAACGCTTCTGGATATCCGTTGGCTCGTAGCGTCTGTGTGATAAACAGCAATTCCGATTCCAAACAGTCGTCAGTGCATATTCTGCGGGCTCGATTAAACAGCGTCTTGACTAAGCACCGCTTGTATTGTATAGGGGCGAAGCTGTTGAAGTGTTCATACAATCCTGTCCATGTAGCTTTCCTGTGTACAGAACGCTTAATGGAGCCATCTTCTCGTCTGGTCAACAACACATCCAAAAACGGAAGGCAATTGTTATCCTCCAGTTCGCAGGTAAAACGGGCGTTTGGATGTGTGTTATCAAGCACGTTGAGGAAAGATAGAACAGCGTCTCCACTTGGGGCGATCACTAATGTGTCATCTACGTATCGCTTGTATAAACACATTTGATTGATGTGCTGCTCACATTTCATTTCAACCATCGTCATGAAGATGTCAGCCAATACCGGACCTAGCGGACTTCCCATAGCTACACCATCCACCTGTCGATACGGCTTGTCTTCAAATAAGAAATGCACATTTTCAGTGCATAGTAGCAGCAAATCCCTAAGATATTCCACGGGAATCGGTAACACTACTTTATTACTCATTATAAACTCACATAAGAAATCCACCGTTTCTCTTAATGGGATGTTAGTGAACAAAGACTGTACGTCCATTGAACACATTACCTTGTCAGCGATATTCATGTTTTGCACACAGTCAATCAGGTCGAATGTATCCTTCACTGTGTACTTTGTCATCATTCGTCTCACCGGTGTAAGTAGATCAACTAGCCAACGTGCCAACTTGTGGTATGGTGAATTACACATGGATAGTACAGGTCTTAAAGGTGTGTTGGCCTTGTGGATCTTCGGTAAGCCATACATTTGTGGGATGCGTGTCCCCCTTGGCTTGAGAGAGTTGTACATCGCTTCTGTTATCATTCCATGTTGCAGCAACAATTTTAGTTGATTAGTCACCCTCTTTTCGATTTGTGTTACAGTGGTTTCGCTTTGGTCTTCTTGAAATTTTGATTCATCTCCTAAGATCTCATACATCTTGTTTTTGTAGTCAAGCTTATTCATAATTACAACCCCTGTGCCTTTGTCAGGTTTTAGCACCAATATATCTCTTGCCTTCAGATCACGTAAGGCTTTGATGTGACTTTTATCTATACAGCAGGTTTGGTGTATCGGGGCCACCATGTAACCGTTTGCAATATCAACGAGCTTAACCTTGAGCCAGTTGTGCTGTTCCTTAGTCGTCGGGGTCAATTTAGATAGTTGGTCCAGTAGGTTTTCAAACTGAGTCTCAACGTGTATTCGGTCGACATTCTTTGGGGGAATCTTAAAATTCACGCCCAATGACAAAGCTTCCATTTGTTTTCTGTTCAAGGATACGGAAGACAGGTTGTGTACATGCTTCTGTAGGTTGTCGGAAAAGACGGGTTCTTCATTTGTGTTTTCAAGCGATCTACGCAGGGTCTTGTCCAGTTTCCTCCTCGTTCTGTCAACAACGGTTTTGCAAAAGTTCGTGAATTTGATGCGACAAACCAGTGAGAGTTGGTCAGTGATCGCCATACGGCGTTGGTATGTTTCCATTAGTTGCACAAGGATTCTGTTTGCCTCATCCAAATAGGAGTTGGCAAGCCGCTTCAAGTTTGCGATGGTAGGCCTCAGCCGATTCCGGCGTAGCAACTTGCAAAACTGTCGTGGATAATGAGCATTGCGTTTGCAGTCAGATAGAAAACGAATGCGCATTCTCGTCGCAGCAATCTTGCACTTCAGTGTTACGAGTCCGTCAAGGATTCTAATAGTCTCGATCGGGAGTCTTCGTCTAAGAAATTTAAAGCACTGAGTTCCCTTTATCATTCTAAATAAGACAATAAGAAGACTGGTATTGCGAGATGGTACCATTTCGTGTTATATGTTCACTCGCAAACTAATAACAGATAAATGAATCACGTGACAGAAAAAAACAAATGAAGAACCCGTCTTTTCCGACAACCTACAGAAGCATGTACACAACCTGTCTTCCGTATCCTTGAACAGAAAACAAATGGAAGCTTTGTCATTGGGCGTGAATTTTAAGATTCCCCCAAAGAATGTCGACCGAATACACGTTGAGACTCAGTTTGAAAACCTACTGGACCAACTAGCTAAATTGACCCCGACGACTAAGGAACAGCACAACTGGCTCAAGGTTAAGCTCGTTGATATTGCAAACGGTTACATGGCGGCCCCGATACACCAAACCTGCTGTATAGATAAAAGTCACATCAAAGCCTTACGTGATCTGAAGGCAAGAGATATATTGGTGCTAAAACCTGACAAAGGCACAGGGGTTGTAATTATGAATAAGCTTGGCTACAAAAACAAAATGTATGAGATCTTAGGAGATGAATCAAAATTTCAAGAAGACCAAAGCGAAACCACTGTGACACAAATCGAAAAGAGGGTGACTAATCAACTAAAATTGTTGCTGCAACATGGAATGATAACAGAAGCGATGTACAACTCTCTCAAGCCAAGGGGGACACGCATCCCACAAATGTATGGCTTACCGAAGATCCACAAGGCCAACACACCTTTAAGACCTGTACTATCCATGTGTAATTCACCATACCACAAGTTGGAACGTTGGCTAGTTGATCTACTTACACCGGTGAGGCGAATGATGACAAAGTACATAGTGAAGGATACATTCGACCTGATTGACTGTGTGCAAAACATGAATATCGCTGACAAGGTAATGTGTTCAATGGACGTACAGTCTTTGTTCACTAACATCCCATTAAGAGAAACGGTGGATTTCTTATGTGAGTTTATAATGAGTAATAAAGTAGTGTTACCGATTCCCGTGGAATATCTTAGGGATTTGCTGCTACTATGCACTGAAAATGTGCGTTTCTTATTTGAAGACAAGCCGTATCGACAGGTGGATGGTGTAGCTATGGGAAGTCCGCTAGGTCCGGTATTGGCTGACATCCTCATGACGATGGTTGAAATGAAATGTGAGCAGCACATCAATCAAATGTGTTTATACAAGCGATACGTAGATGACACATTAGTGATCGCCCCAAGTGGAGACGCTGTTCTATCTTTCCTCAACGTGCTTGATAACACACATCCAAACGCCCGTTTTACCTGCGAACTGGAGGATAACAATTGCCTTCCGTTTTTGGACGTGTTGTTGACCAGACGAGAAGATGGCTCCATTAAGCGTTCTGTACACAGGAAAGCTACATGGACAGGATTGTATGAACACTTCAACAGCTTCGCCCCTATACAATACAAGCGGTGCTTAGTCAAGACGCTGTTTAATCGAACCCGCAGAATATGCACTGAGGACTGTTTGGAATCGGAATTGCTGTTTATCACACAGACGCTACGAGCCAACGGATATCCAGAAGCGTTTATTTGATTCCACGGTCAACTGAAGGAAAACAGGCCGACGGTACTTACTGTGCCCAAATTGTCTGTCTACCTTCAATTACCTTTCAAAGGTGATATCGTGGCCGCCCAACTCGAAAGTCGTGTGCATACAGCGATTCGGCGGGCATTCAACGCAGCCAAATTCTGCCCCATTTGGGAGACCAGGAAGTTACCTATGCCGCCAGTGAAGCCTACTCAACCGATCTCTGCCACAACCCATTGCATTTACCAATTCGTTTGTAACTGCGGTAGTAGTTACATTGGCAGAACAGATCGATCATTGGGTAAGCGTATTGGAGAGCATATCTCAAAATGGATTGCCAAACTATCGACACAAGAAGCAGGCGAACGAGAAAAGGTATCTAAGATGCCGGCTTCATCGATCGCCAAACATCTACTGGAATCAGGCCATCAGGTTGACCCCAGGTCAACATTTACAGTTATCTATCGTAATGACAACCCCAAAGTGTTGAAGTTTGCCGAAGCCGTGGCACTTAACCGGCATCGCCCTATCCTATGTGTGCAAAAACAATTAACAGTCTCCCTGAAGCTTCCTTGGGGCTCATGACCCTAAGATCAGGATGCTAATCTGTCATTGTTGTGTCTACGTAATTTTTCCCTTGTGATCAGTTTCGAATCTTCGATTTTTTTCTGTCACGTGATTCATCTATCTGTTGTTAGTTTGCGAGTGAACAGATAACACGAAATGGTACCATCTCGCAATACCAGTCTTCTTATTGTCTTCTTTAGAAACTGTATGAGAAGAGAGAGAACAACCAATGCGCAACTTGTCAAAACGCTTAGAGCGCCTGGCTGATCTCTATGAAAGGTGGTTTAGTGGACAAAAATTGCCGATTAATCTACCGGCCAGTGATCGACTTGCTGCCATATCCATTCCCTTGCATCCACTTTCCGCGCAAGGTTGAATGTGAGACAGGATAGTTGAAATTGGATAAAGCAGCAGGCCAGAATAAACTTACTCTAGCCCTGGAAATGGAAACATTATAGTGCTGCTCATCCCAACACTGGCACCCCAAGACCACGGTTTCGTCCTGGTTGGGGCTCATCAGTTGGAGATAGCCTGAGTTGGGCTGGAACTCAGAGCCTAGTGGCTCATGGTTGACGCCATAAGCACTATGCCACTGCGATCCGCGAGCAACGCTTGGTACAGCGGAAACGAATTCAAAGTTGGACTTGAAGAATCCGCTGGTGGTTGGGTTGCTACAAGCAACCTCTATTGAGACCTCGGTTCACTTGAGGTGCACCTCGGTCATTCCGAACACAAAGACCGTAAGTAAATGGAAACATTATGGTGTTGCTCATCCCAACACTGGCACGCCAAGACCGCAGTTTCGTCTTGGTTGGGACTCATCAGTTGGAGATAGCTTGCGTTGGGCTGGAACTCAGAGCCTAGGGGCTCATGGTTGACGCCATAAGCACTATGCCACTGCAATCCGCGAGCAACGCTTGGTACAGCGGAAACGAATTCAAAGTTTTTTTTACTCTAGTCCTCTTTAAATTCGGGGGACTTGCTATTGTGAATAACTTGCACGGTTTACTGGTCAAACTGTGAAGACTGTCCCAACAGACTGAATCCGCTCCACTGTAGTCCCACATTTCCAAATGAGGGCTGACATTCGGACTATAGAAATCATCAAAGGATCTCTAATTTGATCGCATTTGTCGTTCTCTACAGACTGACTAGCACTCAGTAAAGCCAGATTCGTGAAGAACAAGTTGGGTTCCGTCGAAATCGAGGCCGCACTGGCTACATCTTCACTCCTCTTCAATTGTTGTGACACAACTATTTATATTCGTGACCCATTGTAATTGTGCTCCGCGACATCAATCGGCGGATTGATATGCCCTTTTGGACTGTTTGATTAAAGATATTGTGCCCGCGGAATGCCTGGTATTGTAAGAGCGCGTTCTGCACGTGTTGTTCAGCCAGAGTGAGGTCTTATGGCAAACTGCCCGCCACCATTCAGTATCTCACTCCTCTGTGTGAGACAGGGATCTTATTATTATTATTATTACTACTATTATTATTATATAAATTGTGTTCACCTGGCTTGAGTTAGATGGGTAGTTAATTCCAAATGATTGCCTTCTTGACTCGGAGTACAGCGACGATACTACCCTTGTCTGTAACAGCTCCTGAACGGGGCAAACATCATTGGATAGATTGGTACGGGCTGCCGTTCGTTTCCGTGTCCGCTTTGCATTCTCAACACGAATATTTTCTCAAGGATTGATGGAAGCAACCCCATGCCTTGACCCTTGACTTAGATCATCTAAAAGTCGTTTAGCTATTCGGCTACCTGGGCAACTCTATGGGAGCAAGAACTTAAGACGCTTTTGCTTGCTAAACTTCGCCACTTATGCTGTCGTCCCGACGTCACTCTGAGAGGCGGAGATCACAATACAACGAGACGTGGCCCAGCAGATTGACAGGAGTGAAGTGGCCAACTTCGTTCGACCACTGGTGACTTCGCAGTTTAGCTCATATTTAGCAAGAACACCTCTTGGACAGCGAGTGCGTTCATCGCCTTGTTTTTGGTTTGGGAATCACAAGCGAAACGTTTAGTACCATTATTTCGCACACCAGGCTTCGATAGCTAAGCCATGTTTTCATCATCATCACTATCCTTCATCATCATCATCATCATCATCAACAGCAGTACACCAGCCATTTGAACTGATGCTTCGCCACCATACAACCATGAGGACCTATGAAATAAAGAATAAGTAGAGGGAGAGAAGGGGGACTTACCCGAAAACCTTAATGCCCTAAGCAGACATTCAGGGTCAAGGCGCCTACACCTTGTGTAGACAACATTCCGTCACAAACAGCTGGCTATCGTGCAAAGATAAGGCGGCATCGACGAAACAGCTTCCTTGCGACTTTCACTGCCACGCGTCATAATCAGCCATTACCCCGCAGATAACTCAGCACCAAACACACTTTAAACAGGCAATCCGATTAGGAGACAGCAGTAGTTGCGCCACTGGTGTCGGTTGCGAGCCATGTCCTGTAAAGTCTCGAGCCAAGCACAAGGTGAGTCACGTGGACTCCAACCCGGAAGGCGAGACGGACCAACGGCACCCAGTTTGGTCGTCAGTGACTTCATTTCCCGCTGGCAAGTCATCTTCTGTCCACCTCGAGCCTTGCGCCACCCTACACCTGGCAGACTAAACAAGGCCCTCCTAGGTAAGCGGTGACCAGGCATACGTAGCACGTGCCTGAGCCAACGCAACTTATTCAGTGCTATCTGTTGTTTTAGGGAGCTAGCATGATTATCACCACCTAGTACTCGCCTACGCACATCGTCATTGCGGACACGCTGGTGCCATCCGACACCAGCAATGCTTCGCAAACAACGATGATCAAAGACTTGAAGGCGTCTCAGATCTTCAGACCGAACGGGCCAAGTCCCACTACCATAGAGCAGAACGGTCCCCACTGTGGCCTTATATACATGGCCTTTCAGACGGAGGAAAACTCCCTA